TTGTAAATCACCCCCTTGTCTAGTAAGTAAATACTTAGAAATCATAACCATTTTGATTGACTCCTTTTTCCCCTTCTTTTAATTATTTTTTTATATTTCATACATCTACCCTACCTTATACACCCAAGCAATACCTAATCAGAATACTAGGGAACTGCTCCTATATGTTAGTTAAGTACCTCTACTGAGTATTAAAGAAAGGAAATACTGGTTAACTAATATCCATGGTTCAATTCCAGGCAAAGGTGAAAATGTTAGGCATGTTTCCTCATACTTGCTGCCTCTGTTCACTCAGCAGCAAGTAGGTAACTGGGTGTCAGTCGACTATTGTGGGTCGCACCCTGGGGTGTAGGAGTGTACCTTAGATAGGGCTGGGCTTTGAAATGATAACTCTTAGCCTGCAAAATTGATTTGTGTAAAAAAAATAGCTATATGCATGTGTCTATAAGGAACTGGGAATAATAGTTGAAATACAGTGAACAGGACAAGTAAAAAGATGTATAACATCTTGCTAAAGTATATACATATATTTTTTTTACTAACACATCGGCCATTTCCCACCAAGGCAGGATGACCCGAAAAGGAAGAAACACTTTCATCATCATTCACTCCATCAATGTCTTGCCAGAGGTGTGCCTACACTACAGATATAAAATTGCAACAGTATTAAAGACTAGGGATGGCTTAGCATCCCTAATTTTTAAGGACTTCATTATCAATCTTATCCATCCTTTTGTGATCTTTGCAAGTGAGATTTCTCTGACATTATCACTCCCAGGTCCTTCACATTAATTTTTTGCACTACTGTGCTGCTAATCAGCAATATATCACAAGCTGACAGCTACAGTACTAATATTTTTATTAAGTTCAGTGAGATCAACTAGCCAGTGTATTTAGATACTTAGTGTCTCACACCTGCATTCTCACATGGTGTTCTGAGAAGTGATTTCACACATCTGCTCAAATTACCAAAGTCTAAGTGCAGGTGTTTATATTTTTATTATTTCTTTTGTATATGATGTCTATCTCAAACATTTTGATACGATTTTTATTCCTTTCAAAAAGTTATTTACATAAATTAGAAGCATTATTGGAGTAAGCACTGATCCTTGCTGTACCCCACTGGTGACGTTTTCCCCACAACATTTTTACTCATATCAACGTTTCGCCACACAGTGGCTTCATCAGTCCATACGTAGGAGAAACTTGAAGAACAGGAGGAGAATGAGGTAATCAGTCCCTCAACCTTGAGTCGATGTGTTCAGTCCATCAATCTTGAATAGAATACGGCATATCAGCGGAGAAGCAGCTTATAAACCGTATGGCAGGAGAGGTGCAGCAGTCATAGGTCGCGTCACATTTGTTCAATGTGGAAGTAGGTCGTGCCCAAGAATTAGGCAAGCGAAGAATTCCTAAGTATTAAGATCCCAAGAAGTTGCAGTGTCTGACAGATTTGTAGATGAATGGTTCAGAGAACCGACATGTTGATAAATTAGACACATGTACAACTCTTGGGTATCTTTATTGAGGAAACGTTTCGCCACACAGTGGCTTCATCAGTCCATACGTAGGAGAAACTTGAAGAACAGGAGGAGAATGAGGTAATCAGTCCCTCAACATTCTTCGCTTGCCTAATTCTTGGGCACGACCTACTTCCACATTGAACAAATGTGATGCGACCTATGACTGCTGCACCTCTCCTGCCATACGGTTTATAAGCTGCTTCTCCGCTGATATGCCGTATTCTATTCAAGATTGATGGACTGAACACATCGACTCAAGGTTAAGGGACTGATTACCTCATTCTCCTCCTGTTCTTCAAGTTTCTCCTATGTATGGACTGATGAAGCCACTGTGTGGCAAAACGTTTCCTCAATAAAGATACCCAAGAGTTGCACGTGTCTAATTTATCAACATGTCGGTTCTCTGAACCATTCATCTACAAAGTTTCCAATTTAATCTTTAATGAATAACTTCACAGAAAATTTTTTTAGAATAAAATGCAATCTGCCTGTCAGTTTCTAAGATAAGAAGCCAGACCCATCTACTCACTCCACTTTACCCACCCACCCACCCACTCTTTCATTGCCCACCCATATGTACTCATTCAATATATGATGCCCATCCACTCATCCACACCCATTAGCTACATGCACATTCACTCCATGCTTACCTAACTGGCTCCACCACCCACTTTTCCCTACCATGCCCACCAATACCTATACTCCCTAACATTCCCAGCCATCCACTGAATCCATAGTAGGGTAAGAGAAAATGGAGGGGAGAGATAGAGAATGAGATTGGGGAAGGGAAAGGGCTATAGGTAAAGAGAGGTACAGGGAGAAAGAATAGGGAGGCAAGGAGGCAATTATATTTCAAGATTATTCATAAAACTCTTTCTTGAAATATGCCAAGATGGGGAGGATGCTAGGGTACTGTGCTCAATCACTCACTATCCAAATACACAAGAATAGAGGAACACTGATGCAGGATTACTGGCCCATACTAGGCAGGTCCAATTCACACCCACCCAAACCCACTCATGTACCCATCCAACCTATATTTAAACTTCTAGTTGTTAGACTATTTCCTTCTAGAGAAGGAAAAAACTTAGCATTCTTGTGGATTTTTTTTTTTTTTTGCTTAGACGTACAGGTAGCGGGCAATCAAAATGGCACAATTTTTCAGAAAATACTTAGTTAATACTGTCCTGAGTATTTTAATCAGTGAAGATGTATGGTGACCAAACATTAGTAGAGAAAAGACTACACACACACTACTGTTAGTAAACATCACAAGTCATTTCCTTATATACTGTATAGTTTCTCCTACATTTAACATTTATTGTTCATTATCCCTAAGTACTAATACTGCTGTAGCAGCCTTCCTTGAAACTGACAAAAAATTATCCTAATATAATTTATTTTCCCTGCAGTCTAACTCCTTATTCATACAATTCTTATTATGTATCTCAAACTTTCATAATTTTTTATAAGTTTTCCTTGGGAAAAAAATTCATAAGATTCAAATGCTCTCTCAAAGATACCTAAAATCACAAAACATTCATCCATTTTCTGTATTATGAACTATATTTTCTCAAGAAACAATACTTTTGTATTATGACTTCACTTGTTGTAGCTGCTTTCATACACAATCCATGCAAAGCATTCTAACATACACAAGAGAGTATCAGAAAACAAGAACATGAACCTGTACTAATTGGTCTCATACTGTGTTGAAGTAAGGTAGTAAAACAAAACACTGCTTTCACAGGATCTTCATCACTTGAAATTTTTAAGCATAATGATTAAGGAGGGTGCAATACAATAAAACCCAAGTAATACATTTTAGTGGAATATGTGAATCATTAATATGCCTTAAATTAGTAAATTAGGATCAGTTTTTGGAAAGATGCAATTTCATTGAATATATAGCAATATTATCCAAAAGCATGTAATTTATATGAAAAATAAGCTAAATGGGGAAAAATATAATACGTACCAAACATGCTACACAGAACAGGGTTTCCCAAAAGTTCCTTTACCTGTGATTTCCATGAGATTACTGGGGAATGCCTCTTCTGATTGACTTCAAACTTTCAGTGCTGGTCTCTTGCTCAAAGGAAGATTTGCATAGTTATTAGGCTGTGTAAGTTTTAAACTATGTCATGAACCTTATTCTGCACTTTGGTATACAGAGGTAAAGGGACTTTTGGCACACCTTGTAGAATAAAATAATGCCTTACTATATGTAGGATAGCATTATAATACTGTACAATATTACATACATCACAATGTACAATATAGGCTGTACTATACACAAATTACTGTACTACAACATAAGTAGATGGTAAAGTGAAGAGGTAAGAGGTAGAAGAAACCTGAAGTCACTTTTGATCACACTAGTATTTAACTGATACAAGAGCACTAAAAAATAATGGGGCTTGGTAAAAGACCAGCCAAAGATAATGCAATTGGTAAGGAATGTAGCAACAGACGCATCAATCTCTTTCCAGTCAGCTGTAATGTCTACCCACAAGATACAGTTTTTGTGCCCTGGATTAATTAACACCAAATATTATCTACAATAAGATAATACAACATAGCATCTATACTACAGTACCCTAATACTGTATAATACCATGTATTCAGTATTGTATGTATAAAAGAAGCTCTACTGTAAACTATGTACACTAAGGTAGAATAAAATATTGAGTGGATGGTAAGCAAAACCCAGACATGCACCACAACAGCTTCAGGCTGACTAGTAGCGTACGTATCCATTATGATAGCCTAGATAAGAATGGCCTAAAGCCATAAATGATAAGAAAAATTATAAAAATATATAAGTGGATTTATGCACAGTATGGATTTTATTACTGTATGTTCTTAGCTAGGTTATCTACCATACTTGAATGTGATTACGTTTGCACATTGAATTCCCAACGAATATAATCCATTTCTTTAGATAATTCCTCATCACGTAAGAAGACTTTGCCATCACTGAATATTATGGTACTATATATAAGAACATGCTCCATCTCCAAAAAATACCTGAACACTTAGTTTTGCATTTTAAGAGGACTTATAACAATTTTAAAGGCTGAGGGACCAAACCTATTAAAAATGTATAATTAGGTTTGAGATATATCAGTAATACTGCTCATAAAAGCACCTGGAACTCTTTAGTAATACTATCATTATTGGAATGTGCTAAATCAACAAAGGGTCACACTGCTCCTGGGAAATGGAAGGGAAAAAGATTTGATCCAAGGAAAGGATAGCTCTAATTTTTTAGATAAAGAGCCCTTCACCAGCATCAAGGTAATTTCCCTAGAAGCTATAATTCTATATTACTGGGACTTTACTGTATGCAGCAGTGACTGTCCAAATACTCTAACACTCCAGATATCTAACAAAATAATACAGTTAGAGGAAAACATAGATATAACCACAATTTAAATTTTAAATCTAAAAATAATCAATAATTACAGTACTTACATGTGCTCAGGATGGTTTCGAATACAGTCAATCATTCCTGAAGGAGGAAGATCACCCGAACAAATCTGGTGAATAGCCGTGAAAAGAGGAAATCTGAAAACAAAAACAAATTCTTATCAAAGAATGTAAATAATTGAAAGCACAGACATTTTACTCAAACTTACAACAAGAATAGAAAAAATTAAAGGCAGCAGAAGAATAAGTTTCATGTGGAATACAGTGAAATAGGGGAGAAGTCCAGGAAATTACATGACATATTTACAGAAACATCTATTTTTGAGCCCCCTATAAAGTTTACTTTCACTGCATCATTACACAATGCATACTCCTTATTTACTGCTTTTACTTTGATAAAATACTTCCTAATATGCACAGCTCATTTGGATACACAATTTTCAACCACACCCCTTGTTCTCATTGCATCACTGATAATGAGCCTATTGTTTATGCCTGGTAGTATTTTGGATGTTGTGATCATATCTCCTCTCTGTTCTTCACCCCTACAGTGATGCAAGGTCTAGTTCTTGCATTCATTCCTGCAGATGATACAGTACAGTACTCAGTTTTTTGGCCTTTCGCATCTCCCAACTTCACAACTTTGTGACTGCTTGGGCTGACTTCCAATAACCATTTATCTGACCACTCTTGACGTCACTCTAAGTCTTGCAACTTTCTTTCATCCTAGTGGCATTAAGAAACAGAGAAGAGAAGCAACCCCAGAAAAGCAAATGGTACCTGAGGTGTTGATGGAAGGGGATTCCCCTTCCAAACTATAAACAATCCACTCTCTCTCCTCCTCCAGTCTCCCATACACTAAGAAGAATCTCCAATAAAGGTAAGTGTTATGCTGCTAATGTTTCATTCATCATTTCCCATTGTGTTGTTTATGTACTACATGCATATTTCATGTTAAAAAATTTTTTGTTTTAATACTTCTGGGTGTCAGGAAAGGATTAATTGTATTTACATTATTTCTTATGGGGAAAATTGATTCGTAAATCGTAAATTTTGTTTATAGTAACGGCTCCAGGAACGGATTAATTACGAAAAACGAGGGACCACTGTACGTAATAAAGATACACAACGTATCCCTCCAAACTGCCAATGTCCCAAATGACTCCTTTAAAGTGCAGGCATTGTAGTTCTCATTTCCAGTATATAAATACTGTAATGTGAAAAATAACTATTAATGTACTGAATTCTTAACCCTAACCTTACCTATTTTCCATTTTTTTGTCCTTGAGCATAAAATTAACTTCTATTGCAGTGTAAGGTCCTTGTAGCTTTTGACCATTCAGCATTTCCTTTTCAAGTTCCAAAATTGACTGAAATATAATAAAAATATAAGATTTTTCAAAACAGGTATAATAATAGGACAACTGTACAACTAGGAGTGGACTAGAGTGGCCATGTTACTCTGCATCCATACCACCACTTAAAAGCAGTCCAGTAGCATTAACAACTACAAATAGCATGTTAGATGGCATACTTCTTCTCTCATATTAATTAGAAATTAACAAAATTTGAAAAATTTATCAAACATTTAAATTTCTTCAATAACAAAAGCAAAAGATATAAATATGCATACAATGCAAGTAATTAAAGGAGACTTGATTTATCTGTATAATATAAGCTTAGAAATATCTGGCTGTCTGGCATTTTAACCCTTAAATGGTCCAAATGTATATATACATTTTTTCAACATCTGAAAGTATGTAAAAAAATGTAGATCTTTTTTGGTTTACATTTGAAAACGTGTAAAAAAAACTTTTATCTACATTTTTTTTTTTGTTATATTTGAAAATATGTAAAAAAAAGTAGATCTACTTTTGTAGCACTACGAATTTGAACGTCGATTTCTTTGGACCGTTTAAGGGTTAAGCATAAAAGTTGCAGATATCAATTATCAGTTTGTTGCCATTTAATAATTTGCTATCACCACCAGCTTGTTGCTATCATGACCTACTTACTATCATATTGCAGAAATCTTCATCAAAATGCCATCAAAATAACTCCTTATTTCAGTTTTCAAGTTATATCCCACAAAACATCCCCATCATTTACAGAAATTAAAACGCAAGAAATCCAAACTGAAATTTTTTACAGATTTTACACGTTTGGAATTACTTCAGTTCTGGATAAATTATGTTTTCTCACTTATCAATGTAAGAAGTAAATTTTAACTATGATTAAGACTTTCTTTATTTGTTCGTTAAGAATTTACCTTGCCTGTTTTCACAAATGCTTCTGCAACTCTTCTGTTTCTGCCACCATAGCAAGTAGTGATGAGGTCAGCAACACCACAGCTCTCAAAAAACGTACCTAATTTTGAACCTGGATAGAAGACCTGCAAGAGGAGAAGAATGAGTTAATTTTAATGGGTTTATAGGTGATGTGTAATTTTCTCACTTTGATTTAAAAAAAAAAAAAACTAATGGGAAAGGGCTCAACCCATATACTGTCTGGGGAATGGGAAGGGAGGGGGGGATGTAATCAGGTTTATAAAAAAAAAAAAAAAATTCTATAACAAATCAAGTGCAAACTAGATCTTCATACCTTCTTTAGTTTCTGCAGATTTGCTTACCTCACAGAATTTAATCATTTCCATGAGTCCTAGTCTTATAATTGCAGCCTTTGTATTGTCACCATACCCAAGGCCATCCACAAACCCAGCACCTGTTGCTACAATATTCTAAAAGACAAATAACAAGCAATGAATAACAGAATTTTGCACATGGTATTGTAGCATACTTGTATCAATTATTAAGCAATTAACAAGTATTAAATCTAATGAATGTAAGTGCAAAAAAATAATGTTTCTCACCTTAAGAGCTCCGCACACTTCAACTGCCTCTACATCATCAACAACAACTACTCTGAAGTAGTCAGTCTGAATAAGATCTCTGTACATCCGTCCTGCTTCAATATCACGGCATCCTGTCAGTACATATCAAAGGAGGATTGAAGAAACAAAGCACAATATAAGTTACATGAGCATTCCCTGCTTGGGATAAAAAGTCTGTAGCATAATGAAGAACCTGTTATCCTAAAATGACATCTTTTAGTGTTTACCTGGAGTTTACCTGGAGAGAGTTCCGGGGGTCAACGCCCCCGCGGCCGGTCTGTGACCAGGCCTCCTGGTGGATCAGAACCTGATCAACCAGGCTGTTGCTGCTGGCTGCACGCAAACCAACGTACGAGCCACAGCCCGGCTGATCAGGAACTGACTTTAGGTGCTTGTCCAGTGCCAGCTTGAAGACTGCCAGGGGTCTGTTGGTAATCCCCCTTATGTGTGCTGGGAGGCAGTTAAAGTCTCGGGCCCCTGACACTTATTGTATGGTCTCTTAACGTGCTAGTGACACCCCTGCTTTTCATTGGGGGGATGGTGCATCGTCTGCCAAGTCTTTTGCTTTCGTAGCGAGTGATTTTCGTGTGCAAGTTCGGTACTAGTCCCTCTAGGATTTTCCAGGTGTATATAATCATGTATCTCTCCCACCTGCATTCCAGGGAATACAGGTTTAGGAACCTCAAGCGCTCCCAGTAATTGAGGTGTTTTATCTCCGTTATGCACGCCGTGAAAGTTCTCTGTACATTTTCTAGGTCGGCACTTTCACCTGCCTTGAAAGGTGCTGTTAGTGTGCAGCAATATTCTTGTGCTGGCAAGCCAGCACAAGCCCCTAATCAAGTGACCAAAAGCTCCACTGAGTCATCATTTACACAAGACCTGCATCAGGATAAATTTTCCTATTTCTCCTTACAGACAAAATACTGCATCCCCAAGAACCCCTTACTAAAAAAACAGGTAAGGATCACAAGGGTACCTAGCCTAAGAGCTAGACCCATAAGGGTCATACAGCTATGCTCCATATTCTATTATTAACTTCTTTATCTACGTACCGAGACCACACTTACATAAAGATATTGTTTCTATTGAACTATGAATTATAATTAAGTGCCTCTTGTAAACACAGAAGGGTGAGGCTCAAACCCATAGATAGTTAAAGAGAGATCATATATTAAGTAGCTAGTTGAAGAAAGGCTATGTTTATCATCCTTATTTTTACACAGAGTACGCAGTGAACTCTCAACTTTAAAAAACTAACAAGGGAAAGATTCCCATTAAAGCCTACTGACCATTAAATCCTAATTATGGGGATGTTTTTCTACAATCTTAACAATAATGGACAATTTTCAGATTTAACAGAATATGTTTGTTAAATGTGAAAATAAATTTACCCAGAGGACTGCAACAATGTGATGTAGTTCAGCTGGGCTTGTGAGGTCTCTGGGGAGACCTAATTTAACTAATTATATGGTCACCTTGCCTTGGCAAATGTCTGTCAGAGCCACGCCTTTTCGGCTTAAGACTGAGGTCTTTTGTTCTGGACGGCGTCAGACCTCGGCGTCAGATCAACACCATGTGTGCACACCTCATTGTGGAGGGTGCTTGGACCACCATAAAAGCCCAAGGAAGAGCATGATCAGGAGATTCGAGCGGAGCTGCTGCTTGGGTGCAGGGCTCGGGAGAAGGCTGCTGAAGTCTCTGTAGGAGACTGTTGGAGGCATTGGGCAGAGTACTGGCCTGGCGCAGTACTCGTGCTGTGTAGGTCTCGGGACCTGTGGCTTAGTTCCTGTGATGAACTGCCCTCTGAACTATATTGTAAGTTATATTCATTTTGGTCAAGTTGATTGTATTCCCTGTCTCACTGCTTATGTGTACCACCCCATTTATCTAAACCACAATAATGTTCTCCTGTTTCCAAATATATTATTGTACAAGGACTTAATAATAAACTGTGTTTGAGTAGAATAGTAATATTTACTGTCCCCGTTATTTATTCTTTTATTTTTTTATTTCAAGTAGTGAGAGGGTGAGTAGGGTGGCGGGTAGAGTAATGAGAGGTGAAGGTGTAGTCACCAGTGACCTCACATTACCTACCTACCTCCGCACTCATCTCTCCTACTGCCTCGCCTGTCCCCTACCTACCGACTCCCTCCACTTACCCCCATATTCCTGTAATCATTACCCCCCTACATGACATGGTGTCTAAGCGGTGGTGGTTCTTATTTTTATAGTAGGAACCAGTCCCATGTGCCTTATTTTTGACTGCTCGGTTATACTTATGTTATGCTACCATTTTTTTTCTTGTGTGTGTAAAGCTAAAGTAAATATCTGTATGATATTATAATCCTATTGACCTTAACTGACCTTTTTTTTTTTTTTGACCGTGGGTCTGAGTAATTGTTTGGGTGTAATATTATATTTGGAGTTGGTTGTTGGTTTGAGATAAATGGTGGAGAATATCAGTATTTGGGTGAGACTTTTGGGGGAAGCAATTACTGCCGAAATTGAATATTTACAGAGGAATGAGAAGTCACCCAGCCCGCCTTGGAAGATTCACCCACAACTGTCACCCACTGAAGAGCTGCCTATAATTATTATCCACCTGATGTGCCCAGTCACCCAGCTGATGTGCCCCAGTAGATGTATTGCTGCCCTGGTCTGTCATCTATTGTAGTGGGTGTCTGACTGTGTCACCCAGCCTGTGACCATCACCCGCGAACCGCCAGTTACCCGCAGTTGCCAGGGATGGGTGACTGCACCTGCTGTTGATGACCTGAAGTGACCTCACCTCACCTCGAGCAACTGACCATAGCCTGCTACTGCTTATGTCGGCTGCTGTGATGCTGCTGAGATGCTGTAGCCGTGCTGAGATGCTGTAGCTGTGCTGCGATGCTGTGGCCGTGCTGTGTGCTGCTGTGATGTTGAGATGCTGCAGCCGTGCTGTGATGCTGAGATGCTAGGACCGTGCTGCGATGCTGTAGCCATCTGCGATGCTGTGGCTGTGCTGTGTGCTGCTGTGATACGGCCGTGCTGTGATGTTGAGATGCTGCGGCCGTGCTGTGATGCTGGGACCGTGCTGCGATGCTGTGGCCATGCTGTACGCTGCTGTGATACGGCCATACTGTGATGCTGAGATGCTGCCTAGCTCAAGAGGAGATGGCAGTGATGCTGCAGTGGTGTGTGAATGATTCTGGCTGGTGTGCCAGGACAGGAGAATCTACTATGAAGGAGTTTCCATCCTCAGAGATGTGGAAGGAAGTGAGCCGCGGAGATGGACTCCAGCTGCTGGGGTCAGCCTGCTTTCAAGGGCGGTATGGAGGTGTATCCTGCCTTGCTGGTTAACCTGTACGACCGGTACGCGGGGATGCCCTGCCAGCCATGAGAGACAATTAAGAGTGTGAGATGTCCCCAGCCTACTTTGACTTGCCAGAAGTGTTAAGTGTTACCTGTGTGAAATAAGGCGACCTTGGAAACGGTCCACCGATCATGGCCACCTTGTTTTATGAGGCCAGTGAATCCTAGTAGTGGCATAGGATAATGGAGGGTCTTAGCTGCGATGCCTGCCCTGTCTCGATTTTCAGATGTAGTGTGCATGTGAAGTGTGCTGAAAATGTGGCCTTGGTGGTCGTGAAGTGGTCCAGTTGCAGTTACTTGAAAGAATGCAACCCGTTGGAGCAGTTTTCCATGCCAGAGAAGCCTAGAGAGGTTTGGCCCAATGGTTAACGTGCGAGGGTGACTAGCATTGGCTAGTGCATTTCTAGTAGAAGTAGGGAAGGCACTGGAGCCCGATATTTAGGTTTAAGGAGAAATGACGGGTAAGGAGGATTTGCACCAGAGAGCAACTATTATGCTGGTCAACTGCGAGGTGTACTGATTACACTGCCTTGTGGTAGATGAGAAGGTTGAGGGAAATATATGTAGTTGAATAATTTTGTATTATGTTATGTATAATTTTGTCTTTGTACTGTAATAGATTTAAGGGGTTAGGATTAAAATAGTCTAATAACTTAGGACAAATTGTCCTAGTTCTCAGATATTTTAAACAGGGGGAGAAAGGGGAATGTGATGTAGTTCAGCTGGGCTTGTGAGGTCTCTGGGGAGACCTAATTTAACTAATTATATGGTCACCTTGCCTTGGCAAATGTCTGTCAGAGCCACGCCTTTTCGGCTTAAGACTGAGGTCTTTTGTTCTGGACGGCGTAAGATCAACACCACGTGTGCACACCTCATTGTGGAGGGTGCTTGGACCACCATAAAAGCCCAAGGAAGAGCATGATCAGGAGATTCGAGCGGAGCTGCTGCTTGGGTGCAGGGTTCGGGAGAAGGCTGCTGAAGTCTCTGTAGGAGACTGTTGGAGGCATTGGGCAGAGTACTGGCTTGGCGCAGTACTCGTGCTGTGTAGGTCTTGGGACCTGTGGCTTAGTTCCTGTGATGAACTGCCCTCTGAACTATATTGTAAGTTATATTCATTTTGGTCAAGTTGATTGTATTCCCTGTCTCACTGCTTATGTGTACCACCCCATTTATCTAAACCACAATAATGTTCTCCTGTTTCCAAATATATTATTGTACAAGGACTTAATAATAAACTGTGTTTGAGTAGAATAGTAATATTTACTGTCCCCGTTATTTATTCTTTTATTTTTTTATTTCAAGTAGTGAGAGGGCGAGTAGGGTGGCGGGTAGAGTAATGAGAGGTGAAGGTGTAGTCACCAGACGTGCAACTATGACCACCCTAGAAAATGCCATGCCCATATGACAACAGGAAAATGCAAACTCCCTTCCTGTAAGCTTTTTCACCCTGAAATGTGTACCTCTTCAGTACAGGAAAGACTGTGCTATAACTTAAATTGCCAGGCATACCATCTAAAGGGGACAAAAGATACAAAACATCCAGGCCATGGGAAAACCTGGGTAGCCACAGCCACTCAAGAGGGAGAGGTTTTTTAGTGCCAGGAAGGAAAAAAAACTGGCAGGAAATGGCAGAATCGTACACCAAATCCAGTCATTCCTGGAGTGGAACCACAGTCGATGGCCTCCACTCCAAACCAACAGATACAGATACTAATGCCGGAAAAAAAAAATCCCCCCC